CAATAGGAGGAATTAGGGAAAACCTGATGAAGATATAGATAATGAAGGAAAATAGCCCAAAACATAGAAAGGAAACCACAACTGGGATTTTCCTCTGAGCTAATGATTGCTTGTAGAAAGTGAATGAGAATGTCTGTGCTTGAGTGCAAATAGGCCTTCATAGAGAGCTGAGCTCCCAAGAGTCCCTAAGATGTTTCAAATTCTGAGGCCCTTTAACTACCCCTCTTCCTGCAGGATTTTGACATTGCTGGGCAATTTGACCCCATGATTCCTGATGCAGAGTGCCTGAAGATCATGTGTGAGATCCTGAGTTCACTTCAGATAGGCGACTTCCTGGTCAAGGTCAGAAAGGAACAGGGCTGGGAGGGCAAGGTAGGGCCTGGATTCTCACAGGAGAAAGTCCTTGTGCAAAGGAACCAATAGCCCCGGTGATCAAGGAATATTGAGGTCACATAAAAGAAAGATATTCCCTCTTTATCATGTCTTGGGTCCCCACAGGTTAATGATCGGCGCATCCTCGATGGAATGTTTGCCATCTGTGGTGTTCCTGATGACAAGTTCCGTACCATCTGCTCCTCAGTGGACAAACTGGACAAGGTAACAACCCAAGCGCCTGACTCTCTTCTTAGATCCCACTCTGCCTTGAGAAATGAAAAATAAAATTAGGAGGAGGAAGTGCCTGCCTCTGTGCCCACCAAAGGAAGTTTAGCCCCAGGATCTAAGTTGAAAGGCAGCTTCTGCTCTAAGACTACCCCCACAGAGGATCCACCTTGCTGAGGTAGGGAAGCTGTCCAGGGTCAACAACTGGTATCTCTCTGTCCAGGTATCCTGGGAGGAAGTGAAGAATGAGATGGTAGGAGAGAAGGGCCTTGCACCTGAAGTAGCTGACCGCATTGGGGACTATGTCCAACAACATGGTGAGGAACAGAACCCAGCCTCCCTGTCAGCCTCCCACTGCTCTCAGTCCTAAGTGTGTGTAGAGAGTGAGTGTGTGTGCTAATATACACATGTGCTTGCAGTTCAGGCAAAAAGTTGAACCTACTGCCTTTTTCCTCTCCTGGACAATCTGGCTCATGAATCTTTCTCCCCAGGTGGGGTATCTCTGGTGGAGCAGCTGCTACAGGATCCTAAACTATCCCAGAGCAAGCAGGCCTTGGAAGGCCTAGGAGATCTGAAGCTGTTGTTTGAGTACCTGACCCTGTTTGGCATTGCTGACAAGGTAAGTCAACTTGGGGATGGAGGCCCTGGCTGACCTCTGGGGCTTCAGGTCCCTGATCCTAATCTGTACTGACCATATCCTTATCTCCACAGATCTCCTTTGACCTGAGCCTTGCTCGAGGACTGGACTACTATACTGGGGTGATCTATGAGGCAGTGTTGCTACAGACCCCAACCCAAGCAGGGGAAGAGCCTCTAGGTGTAGGCAGTATAGCTGCTGGAGGGCGCTATGATGGGCTGGTGGGCATGTTTGACCCCAAAGGGCGCAAGGTGCCATGCGTGGGGCTCAGCATTGGAGTGGAGCGGATCTTCTCCATCGTGGAGCAGAGACTAGAGGTAGGTCCTAGGGTGTGGGTACAAAATAGTCCAGGAAGGCAGTGGCATCCAAGCTACCTTTGATCTCCAAGTGAGCAAGAAATACAGAAAAGATGATTGTTGGCCTTCACAAATTCTAACCCAATTAAAGCCTCTTTTTATGGATTTGATCTGTCTCCACTAAATCCTGTGCTCTGAACCCCTACTTCCTCAGGGCTGTCAGGAACCTAGGCTGGTGAATCCAAAATTCAAGTCTTCCTCATAACAGAATACTTAATATTTTAATGTTATATGTCGGGACAGTGCTTGGTGATTTTGATGCATTAGCTAATTCTGGCAAATAGCCATCTATTTAGCATAGCTATTTTTTTTGCATGTTTTTATATATGAAATTGATAATTTGCTCAAAGTCATGAAACTTGTAAGTGGCAGAGTCAGAATTTAAATTCAGGTAGCCAAACTCAAGTCTTACTCCTAACCACTCTGTAACATTCTTTCTTGGTGGGCAGTATGTGTCTAAGACTTGAGATGGCTGCCTTGTCTCTCTAGCACCAAGACTAACACCAAGAAAGCCCCTCATGGCCTCAAGCCCTCCTTTTTTTTTTTCTTTTTTTTTTTTTAAACTGGGGGGGATACTAGGGATTGAACTCAGGGGCACTCAACCACTGAGCCACATCCCTAGCCCTATTTTGTATTTTATTAGAGACAGGGTCTCACTGAGTTGCTTAGCGCCTCACTAAATTGCTGAGGCTGCTTTGAACTCACAATCCTCCTGCCTCAGCCTCCCGAGCCGCTGGGATTACAGGTGTGCACCACTGCGCCCAGCTAAACTTTATTTTTCTTTTATGCGGTGCTGAGGATCAAACCCAGTGCCTCACATTTACTAGGCAAGCACTCTACCAGTGAGCCACAATATCAGCCCCAAGCCCTCCTTTCATGCTGCTGCTCTTAAATGGCTGGCTGCATTTTATCCTTAGGAATATTCTGGCAACTTTCCCAATGTTCCTGTGTTACTATGGTCATAGCAGGACCTCTTCTACAGGGTGGACATGATGCATGTTTCCCAGTTGAGGTCCAATGTAGGCATCTTACATTGTAAGAACTTTTTTTTTTTTTTTTAGTTATTGATAGAACTTTATTTTTATTTATGTATATGTGGTGCTGAGAATCGAACCCAGTGCCTCACACATGCTAGGCAAGTGCTTTACCACTGAGCTACCACCCCTAGCCCACATTGTAAGAACTTTGACAGTACTTTCCAGAAAAAGTCAAAGGGCAGCAGCAGCATTTGCCCTTGTCCCCCATACCTTGGGTTCTGTCCTAGAACTGAAGTATTAGAGACATAGTCTCCTGAATGGACAAGTAGTTAAGTAGGGACTTTAGAAGGCCAGGGCTGATTTGCTTGCCTGGGATGGCCTCATAGTAGTACTTCTGTGTGAATGTTCTTATGGACCTTTAACATATTAGACAGAAATGAGCTTGAAATAATGCAAATAAGATATATTTTCCCTTGCCCTAGATTATTTTTTCTGGCAAGGCATATGTATAAGTTTATTTCTTCTATCTTCTGAGAGCTACCCTAAGCTAAATTGCTACATGAGAACACCAATCCCTTCCCTGGTGAAACTCACTGACTTGGACCTAGTCTCTCAGAATGTTAAGTAGAACCTACCCTGTCAGTGTTTGCTCCTTGACAGTGTTAGCCCTGCTGTCTGACATTTATCTGCCCATTCACCAGGCTTTAGAGGAGAAGGTCCGGACCACAGAGACACAGGTGCTTGTGGCATCTGCACAGAAGAAACTGCTGGAGGAGAGACTGAAGCTTGTCTCAGAGCTGTGGGATGCTGGGATCAAGGTACAGGGTACAAGCCCCAGGATGGCAGCAAACTTGGAAATGCTAGGCACAAACTAAATAGAAGTTCATCTATAGGGTCTTTTGCAATTATTTCTTTTTTTTTTAATATTTTGTTGTTATTGTCAATGGACCTTTATTTTACTCAGTTATATGTGGTGCTGAGAATTGAACCCAGTGCCTCACACATGCTAAGCAAATGCTCTACCACTGAGCTACAACTCCAGCCTGCAATTATGTCTTGAGGTGGAACTAAGAGCAGGATGCCAGTTTGGGTTTCCACGAATTTGTCCCTGAAGATAGCAGAAGCCAGTCTTCATCATCTGCCCTGGTCCCTTGCAGGCTGAGCTGCTCTACAAGAAGAACCCAAAGTTACTGAATCAGTTGCAGTACTGTGAGGAAGCAGGCATCCCACTGGTGGCCATCATCGGGGAGCAGGAGCTCAAGGAAGGGGTTATCAAGCTCCGTTCAGTGGCTAGCAGAGAAGAGGTAAGGGGGAGGTCAGGAATGCCAAGGAAGGAGAATATAAGCCAAGTTGATGGGCTCATGCCTATTTGAGACCTGAGCAAAAGCCTGGCATTCATATAGTACAAATGCTTAAAGGAGTTAAATAAGGACTTAACATGTTACTATGGTCATAGCAGGATAAAGACACATATACCCTGTGTCTTTCTGTCTCCTGAAGAGGCACGGACTACCTTAGGGTGTCTGAATGGGTTCTTGCTCCCAGTGAGCCAAATCTGATGACTAGAAGAAGTAGGCACTCAAGGAGCAATGGAGTGGAAGATGCTTATACTACCTTCTTCCCTGTCCTGCCCAGGTGGACGTCAGAAGAGAAGACCTTGTGGAAGAGATCAGGAGGAGAACAAGCCAACCCCTCTGCATCTGCTGAACTGAGTAAACTATGAAAGGAAAGTGGGACTGGCATTGTTTGAGACTAAAACAAAACTGCATATGTACTTCAACAGCTTTGCACATTCCTGTTGCAGCAGGAAGACCTCAAATGTGGTCAGAACAGAGACTTTTTATTTTTATTATGATTATCTTACTGGTAATCAGCGACAAAAGTGGCCAAGTACTACACCACTTTTATAGAAGGCCCTGGGGATTAGACGAGTCTTTTTCCTGAGTTACCTGTGGGGGTTCTGAAATGGCCTCAACCACAGGGTCCCATACCAGATGGAGCAGATGTCTTCCTGCAACTAATCGCCAAAGGTCTAATAAAATGTCTCAACCACTGGAGCCTGTCCGTTTCATTAATGCCTAGCACTGCCTTCCCCATCACCCATTCAGATCAAGTCAGGAGTGGAAATGGCAAAAAGACACGGTACTGCCCATGAGCTATCCCCTAAAGTGAAAGGGGCATCCAGGGGCCACCACCCTCCCCATTGCAAATGACTCCACTCCTTGGGATGCAAGCCTGGCTCGCCAGGGTTTCTAGTTTTCCACTTGAGTGTCCAAGGCCCATGGCGCACGTGCAGTGGTTACCTCCACCCTCGGGAGGCGGGGTTGCGCTCTGCCAATAAGAGCTGGGGGCGGGGGTGGAGGGTAGGGAAGATTCCAGAGGCTGACGGAGGGAGTTATAAAGAGGGTGCTGGCGGGCTTGGATAGAGCCATGCAGTCCAAACGGGAGTGTGAGGTAAGTGATTGGCGATGTAGGGGTTCAACGAGCTCCGCCCGTGCAGGGGGTTTTCCGCAGGGATCCCAACATTGTAGGCGAGGTGGGGACTTACTTGGCGATCCGCCATTCCAGCCTGCCTTTTTTCTCTCAGCAATGGTGTGAAAGAGTGAATCCTGAGAACAAGGCGGCCTTGGAGGCATGGGTTAGAGAGACGGGCATTCACCTGGTGCAGGTGAACGGGCAGAGGAAATACGGCGGGCCACCCCCAGGTACCGTAGCCCTAGCCCCTATGCCTGCACTTGCTGCGCTGCGCCAGCCTGACGCCGGCACCCATTGAGGGAGGGCCTGCCCCGAGGTTCCGCAGTAAGAAACCCCTAACTACCCGAGAGCAGATGTGGAAATTTATCCAGTTACCCGGTCACTCTCCCGTCGAGGAGCACCTACCCTGTGCCACCCACATTGTTTGCTGTCACTTAATTTATACCTATGACCTGAGTGGGATACGGGCATTCCCATTTTATAGACGTTCGGTGGCATCGCCCCCTCCCTTGCTGGTTCCTTGGGCTCAGACGTCCATGGAACCAGTGACTGACGGTGCCCCTCTACATCCTCTTCCCCAGGCTGGGTGGGAAGCCCGCCGCCGGCTGGGTCAGAGGTGTTTATCGGACGGCTGCCCCAGGACGTGTATGAGCACCAGCTGATTCCACTATTCCAGCGCGTGGGCCGCCTCTACGAGTTCCGCCTAATGATGACCTTCAGCGGCCTGAACCGCGGCTTCGCCTACGCCCGCTATAGCTCGCGGCGCGGCGCCCAGGCCGCCATAGCCACGCTGCACAACCACCCGCTGCGGCCCTCCTGCCCGCTGCTGGTGTGCCGCAGCACTGAGAAGTGCGAGCTGAGCGTAGACGGGTTGCCGCCGGGCGTAAGCCGCCGCGCGCTATTGCTTGCGCTGCAGCCGCTGGGTCTCGGCCTGCAGGAGGCGCTGCTGCTGCCCAGTCCCGGACCTGCGCCCGCACAGATCGCGCTGCTGAAATTCAGCTCGCACCGCGCAGCTGCCATGGCCAAAAAGGCCCTGGTAGAAGGTAGGGGTGGAGGCTGCGGGGAGGCGGCTGGTTGCACTTAAAGTCCTAAAATCTTAGGGTCAAGCGTGCTTGAGTTTGCTACCTAACGCTAATTCCAATAGTGCTACACCTACCACTTACGGAACATTTCTCCTTGCATTCCCTAGACGACTTCTTTAACATTTCAATGAAAAAACTGACTTGCCCTAGGGAGCCCAACCAAACCTACCTTCTATCTATTGTAGAACTTGCTTCTTTAGACCAGTGTGAATTAAATACAATGGGTAGCCCCAAAGGTTAGCTATTGTAATGGCTATGAGGTAGATAAAGCCTGCTTCAAACTACTCCAAGGAATCTTAGAGGGCAGCAGTTTGTACACCCCCTTTACACATAAATACAGTGAAGCCTAAAGAAGTTGTTTAACTTACCCAGGGTTACACAGCCAGGAAGTGAGGAGGCTCTAAATTAAACACAGGCTTATGTAACCCCAGAAGGTTCAGAGTCTGGGGAACTTGGGCCCAGGGCTTAGACTTGCCCTTATCTCTTGCCTTTTTCCTGCAGGGCAATCACGCCTCTGTGGAGAACAGGTGGCTGTGGAGTGGCTCAAGCCAGACCTGAAGCAGCGACTGCGCCAGCAGCTCATGGGTCCCTCTATGCGGTGCCTACAACCAGATAGCAACCGACTAGCCCTGGCCAGGGACAAGCTAGGGTCCCAAGGGGCTAGAGCTGCCTTGCAGCTACTCTGCCAAAGAATGAAGCTGGGTAGCCCAGTATTCCTCACCAAGTGTTTGGGCACAGGACCTGCTGGCTGGCACCGTTTCTGGTACCAGGTAGTGATCCCTGGACATCCAGTGCCTTTCAGTGGCCTCATCTGGGTTGTACTGGCTCCAGATGAGCAGGACGGGCATGAGGTGGCCAAGGATGCTGTGTCTGCACGGCTGCTGGAGGCACTGAGTGATTCTGGGGCCAGCTTCCTATGGTATGCTGGGGCTGAGGCAGGTGCTATGGTTAAGCAGTGACCTCATCCTCCCCACGGGCAGCTTGAACAGGTAGGCAGAGCCTGTGTCTGTCTGCAGCCCAGCAGGCCTGGGCAGTCACTATCTGATCCCACAAGGGGAAGTGGCACAGGCCCTGCCCTAGGCCTGAGACAGCCACCCTGCTGGGACAGGGCCCCATCACACCTGGGGCTATTCAAGTTTGTCTTAAGTTGTGGTGAGGGACCTTGGCCTCCCCTTTTGAGCCTAGGGTCTAACCTGACCCTGTATTCTTCCTTGGTCTTTCCCTGTGGCACACATTATACCTGTCTACCCGCCCCCATCCAAGCTTAGCATGAATCGTGTATTTCTCTTTATTTTTATTTGGAGAATTTGCTGAGCCAAAGGGTTGAAGCCTGCCCTTTTACCACTTGTCCTTCTGGTTTTGGTTCATGTATGGTTTTGAGCTTTTCTATGCTGATTGTATTTATATTAAACCCCTCGTTGGTATACACACGTGTCTGTGCTGTCTTGCCATAGTTGAGGGTTTGTCTTCTGGTAGTGAGCAGCTGCTATAGAGCAAGTACTTCCCACTTCAGTGCCCTGAATCCTGGGCCTCTGTGCAACTTCTTACTCTTCACAACACAAATTGATGTTGTGGCTAAGTAGGTTCAATCTCCAGCACCAAAAATGATTTGAATATTCATGTCCTCTTTGGAGGTCCATTCCAGGAAGCAAGGCTCTTTCATATAAAGACCTGTCCTCATCCTCTCAGTCACTGTCATTCTCACTGTCCTCCTCTTCTGAAACCTTGGAATCCTCTCCCTCTTCCCTCAGCCCTGCAAAGAAGTCATCAGTGCTCCAAGCCTTGCTGCTCAGAGCACGCAATGGGCCTCCCTTTTTCTTGCGTCGACGGTAGTCATCCACCACCACAGCACGTAGCTGGGTCATGTTCCAAAACTTGACATGCTGGTCATGACCACTGCTGGCTAAGAAGCGGCCACAATGGGAAAGAGCCAGCTCTTCCACAGGTTCTCCAGCATGCTGGCCCACACTGCCCACCACTCGATTTGGCAGGATGTTCACAGCCCTGGGTGGAGAAAGAACAGTGTTGGGTACTGGCTAGCTGGACTTGTCCTTTTTGTAACCAAGGGTTGTCCCAGCTTCCCTTACCTGATGATTCCATCAGTGGAGCCAGTGCACAGCAGACTCTCAGTGACTGGAATCATACAGTCAATGGACTCAGCTCTTAGGGCAAAGCGGTCACTTGTAGCCCCAAAACCGTTCCAGTTGAAGAGATAGATGGTACCTTCACTAGATCCACAGGCCACTTTTTTCCCATGCTGAAAGAAATAAAGCAAAACATGTCTGTGGAGCCACCTCAAACTACACCTTTATCTAGCACATACACACACACCCCATCCCATCATTCCCAGCTGTACTTTCATGAGAGTGACAGAAGTCAGGTCCCCAGACTGAGGTTCTGAGAGCAGCTCGAACCGACGTCGCTTGATATTGAAGACTCCAAGGCAGCCATCCCCACTGCAGAGAGTAGAGCACTAACTTGGCCAAAAGTTTCTTTGGGGAAAACTGACTCGGGGACAGGAGGGGTAAGGAGGCATCTCTGAGGCTGTACCTGGCTGTTAGTAGCAACTTCTTTGCTGGGTCCAGGGCCATGTCAGCAATGTATTCCTCATGCTGCCGCATATCCATCAAGGGGCCCTCCTTCCGAAGGTCCCAGAGCCGGACTCCACCTGTGTCATCCCCAGTGGCCAAAACATTCTCATCCACCAGCAGCAGACTGTTGATGGGGGCACTGGAGAGGCAGATGCAGAACTTCTTGGAGTACCTGTCCTCATAGGGACCTCCTGATCCTTACCCCTCACTTCAGTGCGCAAATAACTAGCTCCCTTACCTATGAGCCTTGGAAATACGTCTTTCCAGTCGGCCCTGTTCCACATCTAGAACATGGATGGCTTTGTCCTTGGAGACAGTAACAAGTTCTGGGAGGAAAGGTGCTCAGGTCATAGTGCTGCTCACTGCACCATTCCCACATTACCAGCTGTCTTTACCAGTACTTACTCTGCCCATCTTCAGAGAAGACCACAGCTCGGCAGGACTTGAGATGGTGACCTGAGGACCAAAGTTCCTTGGTTTCTCCCTCTTGGCAAGAGTAGGAAAACCTAGGGAGAAAGGAGGGAGGTGAATGACCCTCAGGCCATGCCTGGGATACATGGAGTGCAGAGACCAACTAGGTAGACCAACCTTCCAACCTAAATAAGCATTCTTGCTTGCACACCTCCGAGCCCAAAGAGCTTACCACCCTGTTTATCCATTTCCAGTGAGCTTCAAATGTTAAGGTTTTTCAGTAGATATTAATTCAAGGTGTTTTTGCATAGGACTTCTCTGTGATTTCCCTCCACCCTGTCTTTCTTTTACCATCCTTTGAAAAGATTGGGTCTGGACCACTATGGAGGCCCAGAAATTCTTGTTAAATCAGTGATAGAAAACTAGCCCCCAAAAGAAGGGTGAACATCAGGGTATGTGCCCTCCATGTCCCCAGGAGCTAAGAAACAAAAAAGGCTGGGGATGTTGCTTAATGGTAAATCCAAGTAGCAAAAAAAAAAAGGGAAGCAGAAAGGCAGTAGCCTATAAACTCATCCTTGAAGCAATTACCCATCAAGGAATATCATAGTGCTTGCCTCCCCAACAGATCATTCAGTATAGCTGAATGAGATCCCACAGGACAAGCAGTCTGATTTTAATCTCCAGAAAAGGACCCCTTTCACAATGGTTATGGGAAGAAGAGTCAGAGGCCCAACAGAAGGCAGCAACTGAGGATAAACAGAACTGGATGACAAACAGAGGAAGGAGCGCTGGAAATAAAGGTGGAGGTCAAGAGAACTCCCAAGTTTATCTTGCACTGTAAATACGGATAGTAATAGAAAAGAACCTATATTTGTTGATCTACTTGGGGGCTATACTGAACATTTGTCCCCTCTAAAGATAAGTGTTGTTTCCATTTTTAGAAATATAAATACAGAAGTTAACCTGCTATAAACCTTTATAACTAATGAGAGATTAAAGTAAATTTCATAACAACCCTCCTGGTTATAAACTTTAGTGGCTTTCCACTGCTTCATGCCTACATTTCTTGCTAAAAATCAAACTTGTATTGAACACCTTACTTGAATTAGAGGGAAGAGATAAAATGGAGAACAAAAGAGACTATATACTACACTCCTGACAAGTGTTTTTCAAATTCCAGTCATAATCCATTAGTGAGCTGCAATCAGCACTTTGTGTGCATGTAATAATGATAAAGAAGAAATTATCAGAATACATTATACATAAATATAAATGGTATTATTACAATGTGGCAAAGCCAAAAGTTTTAAAAACCTTAGTGAAGAAGACAAGCATTCAAATAACTACACCAGCAGATGTATGGCTACCAGCAATTATAAAGTTTATGAGGGAAAAGGACAATGACATCTGGCAGGTATCTATTTTTTTTCAGATTCTAATATTTATTTAGTTATAAGTGGACACAACATCTTTATTTTTTATGTGGTGCTGAGGATCGAACCCAGTGCCTCTTGCATGCTAGGTAAGTGCTCTACCTCTGAGCGGTAACCTTAGCCCTAGGTATCTAATTTTAAGTCTGGGGAATGATGGAAGAGGGAAGAGAGGCTTAGAGCTCTGGAATAGTAGGTAAAGGGGAGGGGAAAGTATTTTCCAGACATAAGGAATGGCATGTGCAAAGGCGCTGAGGCTTCAAGATACTGAGCGAGGAAAGGGTGAATGAGCACAGAAAGCAAACATGTACAGACATGGGCCTAGCGGAAAAGGACCTGAAAGCCAAATTAAGGGGTCTCTTCTAAATCCTAAAAGCAGACTATTGAAGGATTTTAACCTCGGGGGTGACGTGATCAGACGTGTTTTTAAAAGATCAGTTAAAGGTGGAAAATCAAGGAGCCCGTTAATCCTGTGTCGGGCTCAATATAATCGATGGTAAATAAGTCTCATACACCCTTTATTCTGCTCAGCTCTTGTGAGTCACGACGTTCCAGCTTTGTCTTTTCAGTTCTTTCAACAAATTGTGTGGTAACTTAACGTTAAGTCAAACGTTAAGGAACGTATGAGATTAGATGAATCCTGCAAAATGAGTCTCCCCTGCAACATTTTCTCCTCCCTCGTCCCCGCTCCATCCCTGGGAAAGGAGACACCATGCCCCTAGCCCAGCACCTCACTCACACGAATACGTCCCCGTCCACATCCCCTGCTGCCAGCAGGTCTCGGGTTGGATGGAAGGCCAGCCCACTGGCCGGCGCTTCCAGCACGATATCTTCCGGGGTGTCCCGGATCCGGGCCGGGGATTCGGTGGAGTCAGGGTTTTCCTCGTCGCTCTCATCCTCGGCGGGCCTCTCCGCACACGTGCTGTCCATGCTGGGGAGGATTGGGGGGCGAAACTGCCGGCTGGCTAGCGACAAGTGAAGTAGCGCAACGCGGAAGTTGTGCCCCAGCACGCCGCTTCGGCGTCGGGGGCGGGGAGAGGGCGGGGCGGGGAGAGGGCGGGGACAGGGCGGGGTGGGGCCGGAAGTGCCTTGTCAATACCCTCCTCAGTCACTTCTTATGAAGTCGGAACTGCACGTAAGTCCTCTCCCCTCACACTATCCCATTCTGGTGGATGCTCCCTCAGGTAACTAGGAGGAGGACTTAATTCATTCTTAAATAGGAGAGGGACACCAGTCATTTGTGGTTTGTTGAAATCCAAATCCATGGTAAGCAGCAGCCAAAGCGCTTAGGAAGCAGCAAAAGCCCACAAAGCAAAAGCCTCGCAAAGATGACCTACAGGGGTCTTAAGGAGACAACCCGCGTACACTTTAAAGCCACCATCCATGCCCAATGTATTTGAGTCGAAACTGAACAATGCCTGTGAGCCTTCTTACAGTTTAGCTCCAGACTCTCAGCCGGCTAGACTGGCAGTGCTCAAGGCTATTGAGCAATTGCTGAAGAAAAAAAATGGACATCACAACTGATGC